TATTATGCATGTACTCTCACAAGGTTGCAGTTTTTTGTAACATACATGAAAAAAAAAAAAACAAAAAAACAGTACCATTAACTTGTGAAAAAAATAGCCATGTAAAATCAGGTTCAAACACCAACAATGAATATTTTCTATGGCACAAACCTAATAAGTTCAAGAAAAAATTTTTAAAAGTTGAAAACTAGGCATGGAATTTGTTGTAAATATTAATAAAAGAGTAGTTTATGATTCCTTTGGAAAAGGGATGCTCTAAATTAAAATGATCTTTACAATATATCTTTTAATTTCTTGCATTTTAGGCAGAATACTTTTGTCTGTTATTTTTAGTTTTGTTAAAATCACAGTAAGATACCTTAAATCTTTTTCTTCAACACTACTAGCATTTGCTGAATAGTAAATATTAAAAGGAAATTTGGACTCTGTTCATTCATGCCCCATTATTAATAGTAAGAATATTAGTTTTATGAATTTTAGCAAGAAAGACTCTGGAGTAATACAGCAGAAATGAGCATCTCACATCCCTCTATTCTTGCAAGGCAGTGATAAGTGTATAGGAGGTGAAAATAACTTGTCAGGGTAAGTATAATTAGGTGAAGAAAGTGCTGGAAGCACCTTCATAATCTAATGGGCTATGAAGAATATTTGAGGCACACGCAAAACTACACTCTGAAAGTGATTTGAAGTCATCACAGCTCTGTTTGCAATAGCCAAGATAGGGAACCAAACTAAATGTCCATCGATGGATGATTGGATAAGGAAAATGTGGTATATATGCACTGTAGAATACTACTCTGCCATAAAAAAGAATGAAATTCTTCCATTTGCAACAAGATGGATGAGCTTGGAGAAACTTTTTTTTTCCCTCTTGATTTAAAAAAACCACAATTTATAGTAAAAAATTCAAACAGAAGAGGGTATAGAGAAATGATTTCCCCACTCCCCAGTCCCACTCCCATGAGTCTGAGTACGATTCTAGAAATATTCTGTTGGTACATAAACATAAATGTTTTTCATTTACAAAACCACATGTATGATCACACCACATTATTCTATGACATGTATTTTTAAAAAACGAGCATATTTCATGGATGTCTTTCCACATCAGCACATTCAGACCTGGTTCTTTCTTTTCAAAGACTGGATAATTGATTTAACAAACTGCCTGTGTGTGAACATTTTGACTGATCCCAGTATTTCATATGTAACATCGTTACATACTGGAACATTGAATCCGAGTGAGTGGGTCCTAGGAAACATTTTTTCTTAAAAGTTTACATTTTTCGTTGACTAGAAACGATCATTTTAATGGTTAGAATAGACTTTTGAAATCAGCATGGCCGGGTTGGCAGGTGGATTTGAGAGCTCAGGATCTCATTGTTACTAGAAGAAAACGGCCATCCCTACGGCAGTTCTGAAACAATGATTTAACCACCCACTACTATTGTCTCAGATGATTAACTGCAAATCACTTCAAACAGAAGGGTAGCTTACATGTAAAAAGATCACTGTCACTTCATGGAGAGGAAATAACTAACGTATCTCAGTAAACAGATGCAAAATAAAAATATAATTGTTTTCAGTACAAGCTCTTATATTCATTTAGTATCAGTGAAATGGTCCAAAATAAACCTGAAGACCATTGCAAGTTACAGCTGTGTTAATGATGAAAAGTGATATTTACTGTTTAAATTCAGTAGCTGAAAGCTTCCCTATATAAGAAGATGGAAAATAAGAAGGTTATGTGAGTTTCCTTCAGACTGTGTTAAACCTTGGAAAAATATGACCACCCTATCAGAATTTTGGTATTATTGCCGTGAACTTTTCTTTCACATCAGCATCATGGTGAGAAACTAAAGCTCTTATTTTCTGGGCACATTCTTCTCCATACAACAGGAAAAGCAATGAACTTTAGTGAAAGTAGACTGAAAAGCTAAATGGCCTTCCGTTTTGATGCAGTTATTTATATTCTGAAATAAGTACACAAAGAAGACTCTCCTTTGCTATATGGCCATCATATAGGGAAAGGAATGATGAATCCACG